GCCTGTTGTCAGCTGCGGGAACCTGTCGCCCAAGGAGGCTGTGAGTCACCCGAGGACCAGGCTGCCCGGTCTGTCACTGTCACCAGGCACGGAGCTCAGTGCCTCCCTTTGGAATATGCTAAAAATTCTGGGAGGTTTGGGAGGGAGAGGGTGAACTGGAGGGTGTATGTGCTGCCACCTGCTGGTTCACTCCCGGTGGCCCAGACAGCCAGAGCTGAGCAGAGCCTGAACCAGGTCTCCCACGGCCGTCCGGAGGGAACCTACCTAGGGGAGCGCCTGAGCAGGAAGCCGGTCAGGAGCTGCAGCACGAATCACACCCAGGCTCTTAGCCGCGAGGGCAAATGTCCACTCCCTTCTTTGGGACATCACTGTCGGCAGGAGGTGTCCACGGGGTGAAAACCTCCCCACCTTCCTGGTGTTACTATTATCCCCTGGGGGCTCTGACGTCACGCCAAGCGCCCATCCACACTTGATCTCACCGAATCCTCTCCATAGCCCCCGGGTGGGTGCTGAGTCCCCATTTCACAGATGAAGCCACTGAGGCGCAGACAGACTATTTCCCCTGCAGAAGAGGAGCAGGCGCGAGGTGACCGGCCCAGGATTCGAGTGCAAAGGCCAAGACTCCCATGTCAGCACACTTAAAAAAATTACAAGTTTGCTACCAACCTGGAGTCTTGAGCTCTAGACAAATCGGCATTATTTCTTTTCACAGCCGCCTCCCAGGCCCTGGGCGCCCCCATGTCTAGCATGGTACTGCTTCTTCAGAATGGAGCAGGAAGGGGCTCAGGGACTAGTTCAGGCTAATCCTGGAGGGCTCCCTGGAGGATGCCAAGTTTCCTGAAGCAAACTTGGAACACAGTGAAAGGCAAGCCAGGGAGAGGGTGGATGAAGCTCGAAGGTCAACATGACACTGTTGTTTGGGGTTCTGCACGACACTGATGGAGTAAGAGGAACCAGAAATGCGTTTGGAGGCAGCTCAGGCTCAGCCGAGAGGCTGGTGGGAGATTCATTCCCTGAGTCCAGCCAGGAAGCGAGAGGAAGAGTTTTTGCTCTGTGACGTGGGGCCAGGCTTGCCAGAGAGTAACTAGAATTAAGAATAAGCTGTGAACGGTACAGGCAGCAGGTGGCGCCCCCTGGTGGTAACATGGAGGAACCCGGGTTTGGCCAGTTAGTGGAGGACAGAGACCCAGCAGTGTCCCTGAAGCAAACAGCAGATTCCCTCAAGTTAGACTGCCCCAGGCAAAGGGCTAGAGTGTGTTTCCTCTCTTGGGGCCTCAGAGGTGTCCTCGTGCCTCCTGCCCAGGCAGCGAGGCACTGATCAGAAGCAAGATGAACCGGCAACCCAGTGACATCAGCAGACACCTGCCACGCTCGCATCATTCAAACATCGCATTCACACGGAGATTCCCACTCATGCACACAGCATCCTGGCATCACGTGGGGCCTGGGATTCCGCGTAATTCATTCATTTATTAAAGATTTACCTATGGGGCTGGCGCTCTGCCGTAGCGGGTAAAGCTTCTGCCTGCGATGCCAGCACCCCGAATCGGCATCCATTTGAATCCTGGCTGCTCCACTTCCAATCCAGCTCCCTGCTGATGGCCTGGGAAAGCAGTGGAAGATGGCCCAAGTGCTTGAGCCCCTGCAAGCATGTGGAAGACCCAGAAGAAGCTCCTGGCTCCTGGCTTCAACCCAGCCCAGCCTTGGTTGTTGAGTGAACTACTGGATCAAAGACCTCTCTGCCACTCTTTCAAATAAATAATTTTTTAAAAAAAAGATTTACTTATTTACTTATTTGAAAGACAGAGTGACAGAGAGAGCAAGAGCGAGAACAAGGCAGAGAGAGAGAAAGGTCTTCCATCTGCTGGTTCACTCCCCAAATGGCCACAACAACCAGAGCTGGGCCAGGCTAAAGTAAGGAGCCAGGAGCTTCTTCCGTGTCTCCCACGTGGGTGCAGGGGCCCAAGGACTTGGACCATATTCCAGTGCCTTCCCAGGCCATAGCAGGGGGCTTGATCAAAAGCAGGACAGCCAGGACTTGAACCAGCGCTGATACGGGATGCCGGGGTCAGAGGTGGCAGCATAACACAGTGCACGAGCCGGCCCCCTTGGTTCACTCCGAAGTCTGGTCCGGTGACCCTACAGGAACAGCCTTATTCTGGATTGATCTGGCTTACAGGGATTGGGCTCTACCTGGAGAGCTTCTGGGGGCCACCATCCACACAGCTCCCCAAGGCCCCGCCCTGGGCAAGGATGAGGCGACAAGACAGGGAGTGAGTGCTCTGTAGCTCGGGCCAGGACTGCCGCGGGAGCTGGGGCAGCCTCGGCACCCCGAACACAGCATCCCGGCCCTTGGGCACTTGCCACGCCTGTTTCAGGCTTCCAACAGCACTCACAGGGCGTGGAGCCTCTGAGAATGGCTCTCTGGCACTGCCTGCGCACTGGCTTCACCCGCGATGGCGTTGGTCCTCCCATCCCGAAAGGCTCCCTCCCGGGCAGGGCTCGCGGGCCAACACCGGCGCAGGCGGGAGCTCGGAATCCTGTGTCTATTTCCAGCTCCATCACTGACTCAGAGCGCAGGGCGCGCTCTTGCTGAGGTCACGGCTGTGTGCTTCTTGCCAGGGGCGGAATCAGAGGTGGCAAAGCGTGCGTTTTCCCCAGGGACACCAGGAATCCCACCAGGAGGGACCCCTCCCTGCTCCCCAGGGACTCCTCCACGCCTGGCCCTGCCAACGGTCACCCGCACAAAGAGCAGCTGAGCTTTGGCTTCACCAGGCTTTGGGGACACACGGATCAAGAAGCAAGTGACTCCTGCGACAGCGGGGCTTCCGGCCGCGTCACCGGGCAGCATTCCTTTGGTCCTGCTCCCACACCAGCAACTCCCCGACATGACCCGCCCGCCACCTGGAGGGCGGGCTTGCCCCCCCCCCGCCCCCGTTTCAGGATGAGGACGGCCACGGCTGAGAATGGCATTTTCAGGAGTCCCTGTTATTGCTTTACTGCGTCTCTGTTTTACAAGGCACAGACAGCTAAGCGCTCTGCATTCATTAAACAGAAATTCATCTCTTTTCATTCATCAAAGCACAGTCGAACTGTCGTTAAAATTTCTGCTCACCCAAAAGGGACTGGAGCTGCCCACCCAGTTCACGGCCAAGACCTGTGGCATCTACTCCAGGTTATTTCCTGGCAGCTAAAGGGACACTTTTCATCAGACTTGGTGCAACTGTGACAACAGTTTATCTTCCAGGGGCCCAGGAACCTGGGTTGGAATAGTCCCCAGAGACTTCCCAGGGACCCCGTGAACTCTCCTGTGGCTAGAGTCGAGGTCAGGGTCAGAGCTGGGGTCCTGACCACTGGGCAGGCAGGAGGCGGGGCTGTGAGCACACTCAGACCCACAGGCACACGGATGCACCTGTGCCAGGCCATAGCCCAAACCCAAGGCTCCCGAGGGCTCAAGCCAGGCTGGGGGGAGCAGTCTGAGGCTGGAGTGATTTCAGGGAGGGGCTGGGGGATAGCATTCATTCTGCCGCCTGCCTGGGCTTTGTGTGGCTGCTAACAATGTTTCATTCATGCAGGCTGAGACAGGGCACCCACCTCCAAAGCATTCAGCCCCTTCGGCAGCACCTGCCCCTTCCCAAGGATGGATCAGTGGGGGGCGGGGGAGGGAGGCTGAGCTCAGAGGACAAAGGCAAGGGAGGGAGCTGAGAGAGGGAGGAGAGGGGGAACAGCTTCCCTCCCGGTTCCCCCACCCCCCACCCCGGGGCTCCTGCAAACACTCTCCTCTGCTGAGCCCTTGGCGTTTCTCCAGAGGCTCAGCTGTTTGATCCAGGGGCTCAGAGGCATCAAGACTTTGGAAAAAACCCGGGGGCTTAGCTCCGTGGCTCCACCAATCCCAGGCAGGGCCAGGGGCCCGGGGCAGGGTCTTTGGGGGCCTGTGGCCCCGACAGCTGTTCCCTGTGTTATTTTGGTCCCGGGGGAGCATGTCCATTCCAGGATATTTGGACCAAAATAGCCAACATAGCAGGACAGCCTCCTAGTGGCTCTGTGGCAACCTCCCCATTAAGAAGTTTCTAGAAGAGGCTGGGGCACAGAGAGGAGTCCTCCCCCCTTTTTGTGGCTGAGTCCAACCTGCCAGGATTTGCTCTTCGGCCACACCTCTCGGCCAGCAAAGCCAGGGGTTTCCTAGGGAAGGAATGGAGCTGGTGTTAGGAGCTGGTTCTTCCATTTGCTGTCCCCTGCACCCGCACCCCAGGAGCTGGGGAGACAAGCATTGCCCTTGCCCATTTCACACTCGGGGCTCACCTGGTTCAGAGAGACAGGGCAGGGGTCTCAGACCACGACGTTTGGAACTCAGGCCACAGTGCCTCTCCGTTGGGCCTGGGGACTAGTGGGCGCAGATCCCGGCCCCAGCAACTGCCAGCCGGTTCCATGGCGTAGCACGGAAAGCGCTGAGTGACCCTGGCCTTCCCTTCGGGCCACGGCGGGGGCCTGGCAGCTGCCCGCCTCATTCCCTCCTCCTCCTCCTCATGGAGTTGGCCCAAGCGCAGGTGGAAACGGGAGAGGGAAGACCGACCACCCCCGCCCGCCGACCCCTGGCGGGAACCCTGAGGGCTCCTCCCCGCGCACCCCCAAAGGGTCCCAGGTCCGGCTCAGTCCGGCCACGCGGGGGAGACGGCTTTGAGCCCAGGCGGGAGCGGCGCGGGGCGCGGGGTGCACGCCCCCTGGAAGCTGCTCGGCGCCGCGCGAGTGAACTCAGTCGTCGCGTGCCGCCCGCCAGGTCCGCGCGGCGAGTCCAGGGCTCGGGGCCTCGGACGTAAGCAGCCCGGGAGGGGGCGCGTTGGACTCCCGCGCCCCGTCTCTCCGCCGGGATTTCGCAGCGGGCTGATTTCCTGTGCGGGTAAATCCACCCTCCCCGCCTCTCCCCGCTCCACCCCCGCCCCGCCCCGCCCCGCTCCGGTCCGGCCGCGCAGCGCTCGGTCGCCCCCGCGCGCCAGGGCGCACGCCCTCCCCGCCCGGGCAGCCCTCCGGCTGCCAGCGTCCCGCAGCCGGGACCCCCGGCGCGCTGCCCAGTGCCAGGGCTCGCCCGGAGAGCCGCGTCCGCGTCGCCGCGGCCGGCCGGGGCCCCTCGGCCATGCGCCCCCGCGCCACCTCCCGCGTCCCCGCCGGCGCCGGCAACGCGCTCTGGCTCTGCAGCCTCCTCCTGCTGCTGCTGCTGCCGCTCCGGCCCGGGTACGCGTGCCCCGCGGGCTGCGCCTGCACGGACCCGCACACCGTGGACTGCCGCGACCGCGGGCTGCCCAGCGTGCCCGACCCCTTCCCCCTGGACGTGCGCAAGCTGCTGGTGGCCGGCAACCGCATCCAGCGGATCCCCGAGGACTTCTTCATCTTCTACGGCGACCTGGTCTACCTGGACTTCAGGAACAACTCGCTGCGCTCGCTGGAGGACGGCACGTTCAGCGGCTCGGCCAAGCTCGCCTTCCTGGACCTCAGCTACAACAACCTGACCCAGCTGGGCGCCGGCGCCTTCCGCTCGGCCGGCAGGCTGGTGAAGCTGAGCCTGGGCAACAACCGGCTGGCGGGGGTGCACGAAGCCGCCTTCGAGACCCTGGAGTCGCTGCAGGTGCTGGAACTCAACGACAACCGCCTGCACAGCCTCAGCGTGGCCGCCCTGGACGCGCTGCCGGCCCTGCGCAGCCTGCGCCTGGACGGGAACCCCTGGCTGTGCGACTGTGACTTCGCGCACCTCTTCGCCTGGATCCAGGAGAACGCCTCCAAACTGCCCAAAGGTGAAGGGGCCGGGGGCGCTGGGCAGGGAGCAGGGAGAAGCCACCAGGGTGCGCAGTGCGCCCGGGGGCTTCAGGTTGACCCTAAAGAGGAGGCAGCTCCAGCTGCTGCCCTGGCAGGTGCCGGAGGAGCGGGCTTCCTGGGTCTGTGCCCCGGGGCGAGGCAGGGAGGGACCCCTCTGGAGTTCTCCGCAGTTGCTGGGCTCTGAGGCCTGTGTCTTCCCCTGTGTCACCAACCACCCCCTTTCCCAAGTTAGAGACCCGACAGGTCTGCCTTACTGGGGCCCAGGAGCGCTCACTGGGCCTGGTGGGTGCAGGGGGCGCCTAGGCGGCACAGCCCTGCCCTCAGCGCCCAGGTCATGGTCATGGTGAGTGAGACCACGGGTTCCTGGTGCTCTCCAGTGGCCCCAGATCCTGAGCTGGCTTCTGCCTCTCATCCCGTTTGCTCCCGGAACAGGTGCAGTCCTGATTGACATTTCCCTGGCTTCTCAGCCCAGATGTGCAGAAACTGAGCTGAATTATTGGGGGGGGGGGTGGACAGGCGCACCCACTTGGCAGATGGGAACACAGGAGCCCAGGGAGATGGAGGGGGGCTCGGGGATGGGCAGTGGGAAGAACGCGGCAGCCAAGCTGGGAAGCGGAGGATCCTGGCACCCACGGGTTGAGCGCCCGACGGGGGCAGGAGGGTGACCCTGCCTTTGGGGGATTCCAGCCTCCACTCAGGAGCCTGTGAGCACTGGGGCCGGCAGGGCCGTCTCCCAGCCAGACCCCGCCGCCTGCTCTGCCCCTTGGGTTCTGGCAGAGTTAGAAGCAGAGCTGCGAAGCACACAGAATCACCAGCGGGGACACAGACGCAGGGGGAGCCTCTGTCTTTCCTGGGAGTTCAAGGCTGCTGCTCACTTGCGAGCTGAGTTCTTGTGCTCCTGGACTGGCTCCCTGCTGTCACAGGCGCATACCGGGGTGTCTCAGTAGCCGTTCCTCAGCCAGACGGCCCAGGCTGGCTCTGTCCTGCAAGCATCCCTAGAAGGACCCGGCCTGCCAGGCGCAGAGGGCCCCAGCCTTATAAACTTTGCCTTCATTCACCTGCCTGTGTCCCTGGCCTCTCCCTACCAGAACACGCTGGCCCAGAGAGAGGGGTAGGGCTGTGCCCTGGTGCTGCTTGCTCATGGTGCGTGGTTGGTTGGGTTGGTGCAATTGGCTGCCTTTGTTTTCTAGAGGAGGACAAGGTGTGACAGAGCCAGGAGCACCGAGTTTTAGTCTCTGCTCTGCCATGGGTAGCCGTGACCTTGAACAGGCCACTTCGCCTGTCTGGGCCTCAGTTTCTTCATCTCTGGGTTGACCTCTGAACTATCCACTACGCTGGAGTCCGAGCAGCTTGAGATGAGAGCAGGCTTAGGATCTGGGTGACTCTGGGCAGGTCACCTGAGTCTCTTGAACCCCACCATCCTCGTGCGTGAAATCGGGGTGCAGCTAACGCTGCAGAGACCACACACTGGCGGATGTTAGGGTGGAAACAGGGTCAAGTGGGTGCAAAAGCGACATTTCACCCTGCCCAGCCTGAGGTGCAGAAAGAGAACAGGTACCCAGTGGGGGGGGGGTGGGGATGCGAGGCTGGGAGTGGGGGCGAGGGGCAGGTGCAGTGCCGGGAAGTGTCCGGAGGCCTGAGAGTGAGGTGGGTGTTGGAGGAGAGCACTCCAGGGGCAGTGCCGGGGGCAGCCTGGTCTCCCTGGGTGGCCAGTGCAGTTCCTCCCCACAGCCCCACCTGTGACCCCGCAGGGGCGTAGCTGGTGGAGACTAGCACAGGCCTTGCAGTGGGAGAGCCGGGTTCAGAGCTGGCCTCGGAGTGACGGTCCCACGCGAGTCTCTGACCTCTCTGAGGTCCGTTCAGGTGTACCCTCCAGCGTTGGTGCGTCGAGGGGCACAGCTGCGCCGGCACGAGTGGGAGTCGTGCCCTGCAGGCGCCGTCCACACCCCTCCCTCCTGGGGTGCATTTGTAATGCTGCTTGCACTTCTCACGGAGCCCGCGAGCCCAGCCTCTGCCACCAAGTGACTTCCGCTGTCCTGCTGCCTCTACTTCCTAGTGTGCACCCCAGCGTCCTCCCCCGTGCAAGGGGATGGCACGGCACCTGCCTCCTGGGGGTGTGGGGAGGGCTGTGAGATACTGAGAACAGTGCCTGGCCCACAGTGAGCCCTCTGCTCTTGTCCTGCACTTGCTGGGCAGCCTGAGTGACCTGCCTGCCGGCCCACAGGGCTGTGGGGGGGCCCTGGGACCTCCTGACTCCCAGCCCCCAGCCCCCTGCCCCCTGCCCGAGAAAGTCAGGCTCCGTCTGGACACAGCTTCAGGGCCCCTGTGCCACTCCCAGGGGGAAGGAACCAGAGGCAAGAACAGAGCGACCCTGGCTGTCGTCCTGGCCTTTCCCTGGCCCCCCCACCCCCTCCCCAGAGGAGCTGGAGGGAGCCAGAGCTGCCTCCCGTGACCTTGACTCACTCTGACAGTTGCAGAAATGCGTTCCGGTGCCAGGTGAGCCTCCCCTGTGGCCACGGCACCCGGAGCAGGAAATACAGATACAAAAGCCACAGCGGGAGGCAGGGACCAGCAGCTGATGAGGCCCTTAGTCCCCTCCATCCGGACTCCCAAGGCCTGGGTCTGAGGCTCAGCTAGGAGGCGGAGCCATCCTGCCGAGGAGGCGAGAGGTCCGGTGGATGCCGGAATGCCCAAGCCATGGCACAAAAGGAAAAACCCAGGAGGCTGGGGATCCTCGGACCTCACGCCCCAGATGTCCATCAGTATCTGGTGTCAGATAAATGATGAACAGTATTTTAATGTCAGTACGTCCCCGGCGATAGCTGGGACATGCGTAGACACAAGGCAGTCTCTTATTTTCCGAAATCCACCATGAATCGGCATCCTGGGTTTGATCGGCAGCCCCAGCACCCTCCATCAGGGGTGTCTCTTTGTGGAGTTGTCCCGTGCCCGGCAGGTGCCTGGTTTACCTGGCAGGAAGCAAATGAGGCAGGAAGAAGTGAAGTGGGTTGCACAAGGTCACGGAGTGAGTGCTGGAGATGAACTTGAAGTCTGGAGCGTCCAGCCCGACACCTGCTTCCAACTGGTGGGCGTGGAGAGGGAGGGCGAGACTGTCCCCACACTGCTCTGTCCTCCTGTGTCTCTCACTCTCCCGGGAGCGACCTCCAGGGGCTGTGTGTCACCACGCGGACAGAGCCCATCACTCAGACCTGGAAGCCAGTGGTCTCAGAGACCACCCGGGTGACACAGGAAGTGAAGACACAGAACGGGGCAGCTTGGGGGTGTCTCTGAGAACCGTGTGTTTGAGGGGCAGAGTTCTGGGCCCCTACACCTACTTCCTGAATGAGTGGGGGGGTCGATGCCTGGGGACCTGCATTTTAACACTTCCGCCCCCCCCAGGGGTTCCTGTGCACACTCCACTAAGCACCCCTGCTGCTCAGAGGGTGGGCTTTTTGCTGGGTCTGTGGCTCTGTCACTCAACAGCTGTGCGACCTTGTGTAAGTTGCTTGTTGTCTCTGAGCTCCACGTCTCTTTAGGAAGCCAAGAAACATGGGCATTGGAAAGTCTGGAGTTGCCAAGGAAGGGGATTCCTTTCTTTTTTTTTTTTTTAAGATTTATTTTATTTATTTGAAAGACAGAGTTACAGAGAGAGGTAGAGACAGAGAGAGTGGTCCTCCATTCACTGGTTCACTCCCCAGATGGCTGCAATGGCTGGAGCTGCACCGATCCGAAGCCAGGAGCTTCTTCTGGGTCTCCCACACAGGTGCAGTGGTCCAAGGACTTGGGCCATCTTCTACTGCTTTCCCAGGCTATAGCAGAGAGCTGGATTGGAAATGGAGCAGCCAGGACTCAAACCAGCGCCCACATGGGATGCCGGTGCTTCAGTCCAGGGCTTTAACCTGCTGTGCCACAGCGCCGGCCGGAAGGGAATTCTTGTCTTGGTTTTACAGACGGGGAAGTTGAGGCCGCAGAAGGCCAGGTGCCTCTCCGAGGCTCTGCTTCCGCCAGACATCAGGGGACCACCGTCTCTGCTGCAGGGCGGGGCTGGAGCACCTGGGCAGCCCAGGGCCCTGGCTTGTGGGCCTGAGACGCTGTTGCAGGGTGGACGCACCTTCCACACACTCCCCAGCCTGGGTTCTGGAGCCACTGGGAGACAAAGCCACTGAAGAGAAACCGAAGCCGGCAGGTGCCTAGGTGCTTGGCCTGTGAGGTGCGTGCGGTCACAGGAGAGACCCGTGCAGGTCTCCAGGTGGGGGGCTGACCTCGCCAAGGGCCCCTCTTGCACCTCCCTGGGTAGTCACTGCCATGTGTGGCCTGCACGTCCCAGCCCACAACGCTGGGGGAGAGATGGGAGCTGATTCTCTCATCCTGCGGCCTGGACACAGGGAGGTCCAGGGAGGGGCTGGGAGGAGGGTTGGACCCAGGCCTCTGTGTGGGGACCGCCTTCTAGAAAATTCCCACTTAAGAGTGCTTGGAGCATCCATTCGGGGCTGGGGCCTGGGTGAGGCAGGGGATCACAACAAGCTGCACCTGCTGGCCTGGTCGGGCCTGGCTCAGGGCCCACTGGGGAGCCCACCCCCACACCCCAGAACCCCCTGCCCTTCTCCAATGTCAGACACGCAGAGAGGCCTGGTGCGCTGTAGAGGCATGGAAACTTCGCATCACCCTGAGAAAATCGATGGTTTTTCAGCCGAGGGGACAAATGTGGATGCTTGTCTGAGGGTCACCTTGCTCCTTTCTCCCAGGTGCCTCCAGAGTGACTCTGTGTCTTTTCCTTTCCTTTAGGAAGTAAAGGCAGCTTGATTTTCCCAATGACAAACATAGCAGGCTCCTGTTCCGGGGAGGGGGGAGGAGGAGACACCAGCAGGAAGAAAGTGAGCGGCAGCCCAGCACCCACCGCGACTAGAGCTTCACTCTGTCCTGTTGTCCTCCACGTGCACATATTTGTAAAGAAATTGATATGATAGTGTACCTTTTC